ATTTATTTAGAGAGGGGAAGGGAGGGAGAAAGACTGGGAAAGAAACATCAATTTGTGGTTGTCTCTTGTGTGCTTATTAAGGCTCAAAATATGACAGTCCAAAATATGAGAACCCACCTTTAAATTTGTAAAGTAAGAAGTCAAAATCATCTCAATAAGGTGTCACATTTGAACGCTTCTAGGTAGTGTCTGGTACATTAGGACATGCTCCAAGAGTAAACATTTTTTAAACCATTACATCTTTAAATCATATTTTTATATTTTATTGACTCTATTGGTGTGTCATTGGTTAATTATTACATAGATTTCAGGGTTATAATTCTATAATATATCATCTATAGGATGATATACATTGTATTGTGTATTCACCACCCCAAGTCAAGTCTCCTTCTATCACCATTTATCTCCCCCTTTACCTTTTCCTACCTCTTCCCACCCCACTTTCCCTCTGGTAATCACCATACTATTGTTAATCCCTTTACCTTTTTTACCCAGGTCCATAACATTTTTGTAAAGTTATTTTCTGTTCAATATTATTTTTTATTAAGTAGTAGTAACTCTTTGGGGCAGATGATCCATGATTTAGTACCAAAGTAATATAAAAATACTGCTTTTTTTTCACTACCCCCTTGATGTGGCCCAATATTTTGTAGGGGGGTTATTGAAGAGGGACAGCAACCACATTGAGCTGAAATCCTCATGGAACAGTGATCCCTAAGTCTCTCTTTCTTGGTTAGTAACCACTAATATAGAATGTGGAGCATAAATTTTCAGACTCTGGCACCATTGAGAGTTTGGGCTGGATAATGCTTTGTTGCAAGGGTTGTCCTGTGCATTGGAGGATGGTTAGCAGCATCCCTGGCCACTACCCATTACCAGTAGCACCTTGTACTATGCTCTGAAAATATGGCTAAGAGCTGGCATCCTACCTGAATAATTCTTACAAAAGAGAAGTTGGATCTTTGGCCTCAAGGACCTAATAGTCTTGCTGGGCAGATTTAACAAAAAAAAATGCATGAAATAAGAACAAAACTACAACTTCCAGCCAAGATAGAGGCATAGGTAAAAATACTGTGCCTCCTGGCACAACCAAATTTAAGGACAACAAAGATTTAGAAACAAAAACACAACTAGAATAGACAGAAAATTGAACTGTATGGAAGTCCAACAATGAACCATTCATCCAGACCAGTAAGAGGGGTGGAGTCAGCAGCCGGCAGAGAGGGGTTGCAGCAGGAAAAAGCAGTGGGGAGTAAATGAGCAGACCCAACCCAGTGAGGTGCGCAAGGCGGTTGGCTGACCCCAAACACACATTTGTGCCCAGATAAACCAGGCAAAAATGGGCAGTGAGATAAACCACGCAGTCCAGGGCCCCAGCAATGAGAAATAAAGCCTAAAAGCACTGATCGAAAAAAACTTTGGGGGTTTGAGATGCTGGGAGAGACTCCCAGCCTCACAAGAGAGCTTGTTGGGGAGACCCACAGGGTGCTAGAATGTACACAAGCCCACATACCTAGGAACCAGCACCAGAAGGGCCCAATTTGCTTATAGGAAGCGGCAGAGGGGACTGAAATCCAAGACAGCGGAGCAAGTGCCATTGTTCCCTCTCTGACCCCGCCCCACATACAGCATCACAACCCAGAGACTGCGTTGATGGGGTTACCCTGTCCCATGAACACCTAAGGCTCCACCCGTCATATGTAACAGGCACAACAAGACCAAAAAATTATGGCTCAAACACATGAATAAATTAAAGCCCCAGAGCCAATACTTTTAATCGACAAAGAGATAGCCAACCTATCAGATGCACAGTTCAAAACACTGGTGATCAGGATGCTCAAAGAACTGGTTGATTTTGGTGGCAAATTAGATGAAAAAATGAAGGCTACACTAACTAAAATGAAGAAAAATGCACTGGGAACCAATAGTAATGGAAACAAAACTGGGACTAAAATCAATAGAGTAGACCAGAAGGAAGAAAGAAACAACCAAAGAGAAAACAATGAAGAAACGTGAATTCAAAAAAATGAGGAGAGGCTTAGGAACCTTCAGGACATCTTTAAACGTTCCAACATCCGAATTATAAGAGTACCAGAATGGGAAGAGGAACAGCAACAGGTGGAAAACTTATTTGAACAAATAATAAAGGAGAACTTCCTCAATCTGGCACAGGAAATAGACTCCCAGGAAGTCCAGGAAGCTGGAGAGTCCCAAAGAAGTTGGACCCAAGAAGGAACACACCAAGGCACATCATCATTACATTAGCCAAGATTAAAATGAAGGAGAGAATTCTAGAAGCAGCAAGAGATAAGGGGACAGTCACCTACAAAGGAGTTCCCATCAGACTTTCAGCAGATTTCTCAAAAGAGACCTAAAAGGCAAGAAGGGGCTGGAAAGAAGTATTCCAAGTCATGAAATCCAAAGACCTACAGCCAAGATTGATCTATCCAGCAAAGCTTTCATTGAGAATGGAAGGGCAGATAAAATACTTCTCAGATAAGGTCAAATTCAAGGAGTTCATCATCACCAAGCCCTTATTACATGAAATATTAAAGGGACTTATCTAAGAAAAAGAAGCTAAAAAAGATGAACAGTGAAAGGACAGCAAACTCACAGTTATTAAGAACCACACCTAAAACAAAAGCAAACTAAAAGGACAGCTAGATCAGGAGTGAACCATAGAAATGAAGATTACATGGAGGGTTAACAACAGGGGAGTGGGAGGAAGAGAAGGGGGGAGAAGGTACAGAGAATAAGTAGCATAGATGGTAGGTAGAGAATAGATAGGGGGATGGCAAGAATAGGATGGAAAATATAGAATCTAGAGAACTTGAGACATGTGGACATGAACTAAAGGGGGGAATGTGGGAGAGAGGAGTGTGCAGGGTGGAGGGGAATGGTGGGGAAATGGCATAATCAATAAAATATATTTTTTAAAAAAGAACAAAACTACAATGTGAGTGCTGCTTCCACTGACATGCAAGAGAAGTGTCAAAGAGGGCTTGGAGCAAGGAGGGAGGCTCAAGTGGGGTGGGATTTGAGATGTGCCTTACATAATGAAACTTGATTCAGATCCTTGCTACTCAAAGTGTGGTCTAAGGATCAGCAGTATTGGCAGCACCTGTGAAATTGCTAGCAACACAGGATTTTGGGCCCACTCCACAGTTACTAAATCAAAATCTGCACTTTAAAGAGAATCCTGGGGAATTTATATGAACATTAAAATTTAGGTGGCACTGCAGGTTTTTTGTCAGGCTAACATTGTTGAGTGTGACCGGGCCGCGTGGGAACTGGAGACCATATTGTGGCCTATCATCAGGTTAAAACTAGTAAGCACCTAGACTGGGGGAACTAAGAGTTAGGAAAATTAAATTATACCCCTTATCATTGGAATGAATAAGAAAATGTGGTGCATATACATGAAATGGAATATTTCTGAGCCATAAAAAGGATGGAAACCCTGCCATTTGCAACAATATGGATGGACCTTGAAGACATTATGCTAAGTGAATAAGTCAGACCAAGAAATACAAATATGGTATGGTCTCACTTACATGTGGAATCTAAACAATAGCAAATTTACAGAAACAGAGTAGACTGGTGGTTGCCAGGGGCAAAGGATGAGGGAAATTGGTGAAGGTGGTCGAAGGGTACAAACTTCCACTTATAAGATAAATATGTTCTGGGGAATCTAATATACATCATAATAACTATAGTTAATAATACTGTTTTGTATACTTGAAAGTTTTTAACAGAATAGATCTTAAAAATTAGAGGTACCTGGATTTTAATTCCTAGCTTTACCACTCCTTAATTGTGTGAAACTTTGCATCAAATTATTTAACCTCACTGAGATTTTTTTCATCTGTAAAATGGTGGGGGGATCTCAGAGGCCTCTTGTAAAGATTCAGTAAGGTAACACGTATATACCATTTAGCAGTCTCTGGTACAAAGACAATGGCATCCATTAATAGTAATGATATTGATAAAAATAATAGCCTATCTTTTGAGAAAGATTCCAAAGGAACAAAAGAAACATTGTCTACTAGACCCCAACATTGTGCTGTGTACAGACCTATAACAACCTGCAAGGTAGGGAACTTCATCCTCGTTTTAAACCAGAACTTAGATACTACATTTTTAAAATCTCAGTAACACCTTGTGGTTCCCAGAGGTCCCTTCATAATGAGATTCCTGTAATTGCTATTATCACTTTTACTGTTATTATTAGGCTACTCTCAAAAGAGATTTACTCCCTCCTAGAGTGGAATTTAACATGGGGTGGAGGCAAAGTGTTGCTGAAACCACTGTTTTGTATCCTGAGTTCCATCACATTTACTTCTAGAGATCCAATCTCATTTCCCATACCTCTATTATCCTCATTCAATTTTTTGCGGATGCACCGTTTTCCAACTTCCCTCTCTCTTACATGTACAGAACTTCTGATTAAGAGAAGACACAAACTGGCCTCCTCCCCCTACCAAATGCACGTCTGTCTGGTGTGGGGAATCCAGAAAGCAGAAAAGTGGCTATAGAGATCTGCTCCGAACTGTGGCAGCCCCAGCCTGGGGAGATCCGACTCGGTGACTCTCTGTGCCCCGACCCTTGACCAGAACAGGGTGACAAGAAGGATTTTCAACACACCACTAGTTTCAATTCAAGGGGTCTCCGAGACTGCGTGTGCCCCTGCATGTAGGCACGCCTGCCTACAACGTGGCTGCGTCTGGGACGCCCTCATACTCCCAGAATCACCCAAACTCTTCCATGCTCTCGCAAGGCCGAGCCGTGTTCCAGGTCTCTCAGTCTCTGGGTTATCCTCTCCGCGTACCTGGAGAGTCTCCACCTTCTCAGGCTCCAGAAACCCCAGGCAAACCCCTTCACTTGGAGCCTTAGCTCTCCAGACAACGCCCGGCCGGACGAGGGCAGGGCCAACAGAGGAACCGCCCCCAGCCACCTCCCTGGCCAGCCAAACGGGCGGGTTGCTGGGGCGCCTCCACCTCCTCTTCCTAAAGCGGCGAGGCGCAGACGAGAGGCATCACTCGAGCCCAGGTCTCCGCCACCGCCACACACAGCGCTCTGCATTAAGGAGTAGGAGCTGCAGCGGAGGCGGCGGCGACAGCAGGCCGGCGGGCGCCAAAAAGGTAGACTGACTGACTCCCAGGGAGTTCTGCCACGAAAAGCCTACCTCCCAGCCCGTGGCTACCACCTCTAGTCTAGTAACCCCACTTCTGTGTGTCCTTCCAGGCCCGGGTTGAAAAGCCTGGGAGGGCCGCGGAGCTACCCACGGAGGAGGAGCCAGCCCCAGCCCTAGGCGCTACCACCGAAGAAGCCGTGCGAAGCAGCAGTCGCATTCATGGCCCAGTCACCGGTGGCTGTACAAGTGCCCGGGATGCAGGTGAGGAAGCCCAGGCCGCCACGCTGCCCACGTGACCGCCCGGGAGTCGGTAGCGCACACCGCTCTTGGCACTGGTGTCAAGAGGCGGCCCCTGGGCTCCCCCAAGGCAGGGCCCGGCGCTCTGTCCAGGTGACTTGGAAATTGGGCTTTTAAGTGTTTCCTGGTGTTCAGGCTAGGCGGTGCACTGCTCCAGGAAGGCGGAGAAGGACTGGGGCGCACATCGATGTGGGGATGGGGGTCGGGAGAGGTTATAAAAAAAAAAATAGGCCAGGGAGAGATACCTGCGCCTGCCAGAGTGTGGTACTCTTGGGGAGTGGGGGTGGGAGGACTTAACTTGGGAGAGATGGAGGTGTCTCCGAATTTGTGGGGTAAAACGCAAATTGTGCTTCTCCCACCCTTCCATGCATACACAAGTTGGGGCTGAGTAAGACAAGGGGTGTTGGTGGCGGCGGCATTGAATTGGGCTCTTCCTGTGTGTGTAGAGTGGAGAGTGAGGTGACTTCGTTTCCCTTTTTGGTGCCGCTTCTTAATGGCGAAGTTGCATCTCGCTCCCCCACCTGGCCTAGTCCTTATTTCGGCGTGAGAAATGCAGGGTCCCATCTCAGGGTCACCTAGGAGATGGCTCTGAGGCCCCCTTCCCTGCCTTTCTTACAAGATGACTGTTGCATGTGGTTAAAAGGAAGCAACTTCTTATTGGGTATCTACCCCTTATTTTATTTTCATTTTATTAAAAAAGAAATGAGCTATGTCCATACTTTTTATGCTGTTATGGTTTTAAATCGGTGCATTTCAAGCTATTTACTAAATGTTATCCAAGTCTGCTAACTTAAACATTCACATTTTACTTTTTTCCTTTGTTGCACAGTGAAAACAACCTATTTGTGAATAACTCAGAGACTAGAAACACTAAAGCCTCAGTCCCTCAGTATCTTCTAAAAATAAGAGGAAACGTTTTTCAAGTTCAAAAAATATTTAGATTAGTAAATAATATGTATTTCTAATAACAAAGAGCTGTGGGTTGGGGCCTCGATTTACTGCTAATTGATGCACGGAATTCATTTATTTCTTAAGCAATCAGTCACTTTATACATGCTGATAAAAAAGTGATTTTTAAGATACTTTCCCCAAATGGACTATTTGTGTTAAACATGTATCTTACCTAAGGACTCCAGTGTGTCTTAAACACCAAGCCTTGTAGCTCGATGTAGGGCAAGTCTGTGTTGAGTCCCAGGAAGTTGGTGTGTATTTAATTAAAAAGAGAGGAAGAAAAAGGGAAGTGAGAACTAGTAGGGCTTTAAAAAAGGTTAATCCATTCAAGCTTTACAAAATGCCCCAAACTCTTTTCTTTACAGGCCACCCCCTCCCCCTTTCCCCCATCTACCCTGCCCCACACCCCATTCATTCAGTTCTGCCTTTGATTGTATTAAGGAAATTAGTAGTTTGCAATAATAACTACAGTTCTGCTGTGTCAGATGTGTAAGAAAGTCTGAAAATTTTTTCATTGTACCCTCCTTACTGTTATGTGGAGAGTAGATTTTTTACAGTAGTAAAGTTTATCTCCGAGGGTTTCTAAGCTTTTCTCTCCATTGTGTGCAAGGCAGCCTGCTTGCCTTGTTAGCAGAGTGCCTCCCCTTCATCAAGTTTGTGATTGTGGAAAACTGTGTGCTGGAAAACTGTATACTAAGGAGAAAATAGTTTCTGGTCTTTATTTCATTTGTCTTGACTTTATTTGATTTATATGGTTTCTGGTCCTTATTTGATTTGTCTTTACTTAATTTATATGGGTTAGGAACTGCTTGCTGTTCAGTATTTTTTACTGCTTTCAGTTTTGTTGAATTATCTGAGTTCCCTATCTCTTGAATTTCTAAATGTTAATTAAGGTGGTTTAGAATGTGAATCAAGTATTTTAAATGATGAATTCTGCCTTTCACCTTATGCCTTCTGAAAATTGTGATTAGTTTGTTCAACCTAATTTGGATAGGGCAATCATCTCAATATTAGCAAAGAAAAGAGAAATATGTATTTGTCACTTTCTCCATCTTAATGAAAATGGTAAATTCTTAACTTCCTAATTCAATTCTCTTTGTAGATGTGGTTCTTAGCATTTGGTGCAACACAAACATTTTCCACAGTTAAAATTCTACAGTACCCTAAAAATAAATTTGAAGGCCTGCAGTGTAACTCTTGAGCCTAGATTTCTTTTACTATTCTTTTGTTTAAAAATATTGCAGATGAGATGCAGAAATATATCATGTGCTTGTGAAATTCCCCTAGAGTTTTGTTAAAGAGTTAGAAGTAACTTTGAAACCCTTAAGACTAGTAAGAAAACTTGAATTAACCATGTGTTCTTGAAATTAATATATAGTAAGTGTTTCCACAAATCAGAGTGAAGCGGTCAAGGGCCTATAAGTTTTTAACAGTTTATTTTAGAGAATTTGAAGATTGATGAAAAAAATTATTTTTCCAGAAATAAAAACAAAATTACTTTATCCACAATGTATTTCTCCTCCCCCCACCCCCTCACCCCCTCACCCCAGGAGAGACATGAAGTAGAAGCTGAGCTACCTGTTCTATCACTTAAGACTTCCAGCATTCCTGACTTTCAAACAAAGAAATTTCTGTTGCCACTAGTTTAAAATAGAAAAGTAACTTGGAATGACGAAAGAAAACCCAGGATTTGGTCCAGTTCAAACTCTTCCTTATGAATTAGTTATTTAAACTTATTGTTGATATTTCTTAATATTGTGGTAATGAATATTTTTGCCAAATTACACCAAATTTGGGGGACATGATTTTTTGTGCTTAATTTGTGCCTACTTTTTTAGTATATGACTAAAGGAATTTTCCACACTAGGAGCTAGTCTTGAAAAATATTTAAAGGACAACTTTTTTTAAAAGTACAACTTTTAAAAAATAAATCAATAAACCTGTTTCTTTTCATTAAAATATTCATTCTTTATTGATTTAAAACATTTTTTGAAGTTTTCAGTTATAAATCATACTTAAGCTTAGAATACATTAGTATTTATGAAGTATTCTAAACTGGTTGTTAAATCTTTCATAAAATGTAGGTAGGAGAATAAAGTTGAATGTTGAATTGTAATACTAAGTGTTTTTTATGTTATGCCTCTTGTGAAAGAAATTTTTAAGTTCCTTCTAAAGAATTTAGAAATTAGCATTCATGTATCTTTAAATATGACCAAGTTGGTATAATTTTTAAATGGTTGATATTTGAGGTGTGAGATGTAAATAAAGTTTAAAGATTAATTAACACTTACTGAAAACTTCTATCTAAGAGGTAGAAAACATTGCCTTGCATTGGTGAAATTAGTTACTGGCTTCTGGGAAGGATACAGAAGTATATTACATGATTTCTGCTCCTAAAAATCTTAAATGTTGTGGTGTTAAATCTAGGACATGAAATATAAAATAATGAAAAATCTGTGATACTTACTCTATAATAGAAGTTGATGACTGTAAGAATTGAAGGTTTACAGAAGTTAAACTGACCTCAAAGGATTGTTAGGATCTATACTGGGGAAGGCATTTCCAAGCAGGGAAATAACCTGAGCAAAGGAATATAGACAGGGAAGGGCACACTGCCAAGTGTCCATGTTCACACAGTCTTTGACATTGGGATAATATCATTGAAACTATGATGAAGAATTCCTTTAGAGAAATAGTAGAAGGTAAGGTAGGAAAATTTTACTAGGTCCAGATTACCCTGGGTCTTGAATGCTAAGGTAGGATTTTGGCCTTTGAACTAGCCATTATATATTTCTGAGTACAGAAGGCTCAATGAACAAAGTTATATATAGGAAAAGAAATCTCAAGGCTGGCTAACTGGATAATCTGGAGGACTGAGAAACTTGAGGCAGTTTGATCTACTAAGGTTATTTTAGTGGGACAGTCATTTGTCCGGATGCAATGGATCTTGTATTAATCACCTTTCATATCCCTAATACTGTGAAGAAGAAATATATGATTACCAGACTTCATAATTAGTTAATTACAGAAGGAGGAATCTAAGCCTTTATGGTGTTGAATATGGGGAACTGGGAGAATTATGGTACATCTTAAATAAAAGAGCCATATCTAGTAGGAAGTTAATGATTTCTGTTTAAGGGGAAATATCTTAAACTTAAGTATGATTTCTAACTGAAAACTTCAAAGAAAAACATGTTTTAAATCATTAAAGAGTAAATAGTTGAATGTAAATAAACAGGTTTATTTTTTAAATTTTTGTGAGGTTTGAGGTAACAATGGGATGACAAAGTAAAAATGTAGGACAATATGTCTATTACCTTGATTGCAGTGATGGTTTCACAGTCATATGCATATGGCCAAACTCATCAAATTGTATACATTAAATATATACTTTTTTGTGTATGAATATACTTAAATGAAGCTGTTTTTTATAAAAAGGTCCAGCAAATACTTGAAAATGTAGGTCTTGTGGTTAGTCATTTATCAGACATTTACTGAGCATTTACTATATGCTAGTCCCTTTTCTTGAAACTAAAGGATGTTAGTCACCAAGGAGGGAGAGGGTCATAATGCCAGAGAGACTATGTGGAATTGAGGGCCCTCATGAGATAGAAAACATAGGTGAAAGATTAGCTTGTAAGGAAAGGACTAATGATTTTAAGGTACATGAGAGGAAGAAAAACTGTGTTATGATCCAGAAGGAGTGAACTGGAGGGAATTCTTTACCTTTTTAATTCTCATTATGAAACTTAAATTAGAGAAAAGGAATTCAGTTTGGTGCCAAAATCTAGTATGTAGAATTCTTACCTCCCCTGCATCTTCTGAATGGAATAATCAGCTTTGCAATTTGAGCTGGAAATGGAAAGCATTACCTTGCATTGATAAACCCAAACCATATGAGATTGGACAGGTTCACAGTGGTATGGCTGTAGCCCCACACCAGGCCCCCCCAGCCCAGGATTCCAGTGCCAGGAATATAAGTCTCCATAACTTCTGGCTACAAAAATCATCAG